CTTTACTTCTTGAACTAATTTTACTCCGTGTTTATCCATAACTAGAGTGTGATATTATGAACATAATTATTTAAAAGAAAATGCGATCTTTTAAAGGACCTGTAAAACAAGTTGAATCTTAGGCAATCAAACGCTCAGTTTGAGGCAGGGCCACTTCAGTTTCTGGTGGACTGCTGCCAGCTAAAGTAAGATACTGTAGGACTGTTTAAAGAAACTTAAAGAAACGCTTTTCGACTTAAGTTTTGAAGGACGTTTGTGTTCTTTACTTCTTTAATCAATTTCACACGCACGTCTAAAATTAGGTATGTTTATCATATATTTGTGTGTATGAATTTCTACAAATACGAGTGTATACCGTATAGCTAGGAACTACTTAGAGACACTTTGAGAAACGCTTTTCGCCTTAAGTTTTGAAACACTTTGGAATTCTTAACTTCTTGAACTAATTTCACTCCGTGTTTATCCATAACTAGAGTGTGATATTATGAACATATGTAAAAGAAAATGCGATCGTTTAAAGGACCTGTAAAACAAGTTGAATCTTAGGCAATCAAACGCTCAGTTTGAGGCAGGACCACTTCAGTTTCTGGTGGTCTGCTGCCAGCTAAGGTAAGATAGTGAGGAACTGGTTAACGAAACTTTAAAAAAAAGCTTTTCGACTTAAGTTTTAAAGGACGTTGGTGTTCTTTACTTCTTAAATTAATTTCATATCGCGTGCACGTCTAAAATTAGGTATATTTCAAATTTCTACAAATACGAGTGTATACCGTATAGCAGGGACTGCTTAGAGACACTTAAAAAGACGCTTGTCGACTTAAACTGTGAAAGACGCTGGAATTCTTAACTTCTTTAACGAATTTTACTTCGTGTTTATCCATAACCAGCAGTGTGTGACATTATGAGTATTATCAGAGTATATATAAGAAAATGTGCTCTTTTAAATTGCCTGTAAAACAGTGGCCTGTTGAATCTTAGGCAATCAAACGTGGTCATTTAAATTTCAAAAGGGCGACTCAAATTTATTTTTTATACGTATTAATGTATTATGTTTTAGCTGTTTTTAGCTGCAGCATTATCTTTCTTCAAATGAGTGAAGTATTATTTTCAGCTTGTTTGTGCGTCTGCCTACATGCGTGTTTTGAACCTACATGTACGCTGTAAGGGGTGAAGTCTGCCACCTCTGACTGCCTGTTTCTCTGAGTTTTCACTTCCACAATTAAGTTTGTAGCGTATATATGAACTTTTTTTAGTATTTCCTAGCAAATTCTCTAGAAAGTAGGCATGTTAAAGATACTTAACATATTTTGAGCCCATTGTCCGAGGGTTCTTCAAATTAAGACTACATCTAGCTTGTTAGTTAGGTAGTCGGGTCGCCATCATACTTTAGTCTGAACCTTTGGAGACGACTCGTAATGCGAATCAATTATATTTAGAAGCTTGTACAACTTTGTTTTCTTCTCTAGATTTTAGTAATCTATGTTTCCAGTCATTTAAAGTTACTTTGGACTTACTTGTACTTTGGCAATAGCTAGATATATATTACTTCTGCTGTAATTCAAATCTGATAGCTTTATTTGCTTTCCTTTGGGTTTTAGTAGATGATTGATGAGGAAGTTGGTTGTTTAGCGGCTGGATTGTAACCTGGATACTCCAAGGTTAACCCCAGAAGGGGGGTGTTTTTACGCTTATCAGTCAATCTGTCAGTCAAATCTGTTTTGAACGGTCGGAAGCACGGAGGGGTCATATTGTACAGTAGCGGTGCCTAAACATACTAAAGTGGTTATTGATAGTAACAGGGGCTCATGATTTACAGGAGTGGTGCCTGTAGTCACAGTGGTTAGTAGTAGTAGTACAAGTAGTGTGTGTGGCTGTGTGTGTGTGAGTCTGACTCTGTGTGTGTGTGAGTGTGTGCGTACATGTGTGTGTGTGTGAGTGTGTGTGTATGTATGCAGGAGTGTGTGTATGTGTGTGTGTGTGTGTGTGTGTGTGTGTGCAGGAGTGTGTGTATGTGTGTGTGTGTGTGTATGTATGTGTGTGTGTGTGTGTGTGTGTGTATGTGTGTGTGTGTGTGTGCGTGTGCGCGCGCGCGCGCGTGTGCATGTGTGTGAGTGTGTGTGTTTTGTGTGTGTGTGTGTGAGAGAGAGAGAGAGGGGGGAGAGACAGAGAGAGTGACTGAGTGAGTGAGTGATTGAGTGAGTGAGTGAGTGAGTGAGTGAGTGAGTGAGTGAGTGTGTATATATCTGTATCGGTGTTATAAAACCTACTGTAGGACGATGGCCCAGTTCATTCCGACCTTTCCTGCCGGATGTGTCTCACGTGTAGATAATCCATTAAACCCAGCTGCCCTGTCCTGTTTGTAGGAGACAGTCTGATACTTTGAAGGTCCATTATAAAGAATCCGGAACTTCCTAAAGATTCACAGGTCGACCTTACGCTAAAGCTCAAGAAAGTCCCTCTTGTCATTTAGAGCGTCTTTACGTATTCTCTCTAAGAGATTATTCACAAAGCTGTTAGGTTTTTTAGCTTTCTTTTGTCTTGTCTCTGGAAGCTACTTAAAAGCGTGTGTTTCTGAAGTCTCACAGGTCATGGCGTCGGTCTTACGCTAAACCTCAAGAAAGTCCCTCTAGGTCTTGTGGTTGAGATCGTCTTTACGTCGTCTCTCTAAGAGATTACTCATTAAGCTTTCAGGTTTTTCAGCTTTCTTTCGTCTTGTCCCTGAAAGCTAGTGCTTTGAGGCTTGTGCGTAAGAGGCCTTCTAAGTCTTGTCCCAAAGAAGCCATTTAAGTCTCTAAGGTTTCTTCTAAGCCGAGTCTTTAAGAGCCCATATAAATAGTGTCTTTAAGGTTGCCTCTAGGACTGCATCTAAGTAAAACGTCATGCAGCAAACAAATGTAAGGGTGACTACGTGTCATACTTCAAACCATGCATGTACCTTTGAACTAAATGATTTGCGTAACAACCCCTCTAGCTTTGTTAGACTGCAGAAACATGTTCACTTTGCCCATAGCTAAGACTCTACGCTTGAAAAAGTCTTTTTTACATTGTGCAGTAAGACCCTACAATGACAGTGATAATGACTGATATTTGAAAACCCATGTCTGCTATTTCCTGTTGTAGATTGAATGGTGTTTGTACATATTTGTATATAGTGTGTTCCTGTGTGCTTGTCCTGTTGTAAAAGTCGAAAACACAATTCAGGGGTGCAACAGCATTTCCTGCTTTTGTGCGATTTTGTTTGATTGTCATTGAATAAATTGAATTGAATTGTTATGCCATGCGTGTCCAGAGAGAAAGGGAGACAAGGAAGACTGTTGTAGTCGTTATTTTCTATCATTGTGAAGATTGATCTTGATGCTTTTTCTAAGAGTTATACTTGTACAATGCGGCTTCGCTATCGCTCGTGCATATACGTCAGCTTAGACATTCCTAACATCCATTAGAATCTATCAAATAACAAATTTTAGATCATGAAGTTTGGAAATCTAGTTTGACAAAATATTTATACATAGACGCACAACGAAAGTTCAGCTATGCTGGGGAGCTTTCGAGACGTACTCTGTCTCTTCATCAACCCGATTGAGATCTCGTCTTGGAGTTCTCTTGTCACGTGACTTGATGGGATATTCACGTGACAAGAGACAAAAATCTACCTTATTCAGTCCTGAGCATCCTCCATGAAGTATAACATATGTTAGATTCAGGCACAATACAGCACTCAGCCAAGCCAAGAGGGAGAGAGAGAGAGAGAGAGAGACAGCACCATACACTTTTCAGCAGATAAGGTTGTTACGAACGATAATGATATCTCTGGAATGGTGCAAATTGACCCAACTAGGGTTAATGAGTTGCCAAAGGAGTCAGTCAGCCGAAGAGTGTCTCCGTTGAACCCATCTGACCCTATCTGGCTGGCTTTTGACAATTTTTCATTGTTATTACCCAAATGTCCAATATCTATTCACTCGTGCAAAATAATCAAGATGAGAAGGTTTCTTCATCTTTATTTCTAACCGTTTATTGAAAGGAACACATGCCTTGTGTACTACATGATGGGCTTAATTACAGAAAAGTCAACAAAATCCCAGCCTCCGTTTTCTCTTATCCTTTTGTCCCTGGTGAGATATCATGGCCACCACATGGGAGCCTAATTATCCGGATATGAACCACAAATAGGGTCTGAATCGGATTAAGGTCGGATTTGGGATTATGTGAAGATTTCCCCAAACGTCAGCGGGATCGTGACATTTGACAAGGGATGAGTTAGTGACGTCAAGCTACGTCATAGATCATAGGAGTTCGTTCTGACCGATTCATGAATGTTTGATTTTGATGTGGCGTGGGGAGGATGGGAAAAGGACGGGGGTTGGGATCCTCAAATAAAATTATAGATAGACAGGACGATAATTGTGTGAAGGTTAGACATCCAGGTAATAAGACACGCCAAAAAACAGTTACTCAAGCAACTGGATATGATTTTGGAAACGGTCAGACGTTTCAGGTAGTATTCACTAGCTTTCGTCAGTGACTGAGAGATCAATCAATAGTTTGTGCTTATAAACCTGCATTTCCCCTCTGGTCTCTCAGTCACTGACGAAAGCTGGTGGATACTACCTGAAACGTCTGACCGTTTCCAATTTCATATCCAGTTGAGTAACTGTTTTTTTGGCGTATAAACGTTTGTCTCTGACAGGATTTACGTAAACTGGTGGGAAGGTGGTCTTGTGGTTTGTTAGCTTGGGATCTAAAGGTTCTGGGTTCAAATCTCTAATAAGCTCCAAAGTTGTGCCCCAGCGAAAGGCACTTACACCTGAAAATGAGTATCTAGCTTTGGTTAGGAACGTCGAATTCTTGCTTATTAAATATGTATACTCGTTTTGTCAATGTCTGGCCACAGAAACCCACCAAGATCCGTTAGAAAGTTACGTTGACCATTGTGCTTAATTACAAGTGAACAAACAAACAAACAAAAAGGCAAACGAGAGATTTTCTGCTATAAAACATATATTATATCCGAAACAACATTACAGAACAGTCTTGTGGTTGAATAGATACATGTTGTCTTGACAGTGGGCTGTCTTAACTTAAAATCTATTTTACGTGACAGAATCTGCTGGTGTAACACGGAGATCATTGTTCTAAGTTAAGTAGAAAAATAGGATATCTGCAGATGACTGAGGTACCATACTAGTTGGTTAAACTATAACGAACCTATGACACTAGGTTTGTGCTATGAATACAAATGAAAATTTAAATGTTAACAGTAACCTCCTGGTTTAACTGTACAGCATGGCGGACATTACTTGCTTCATGGTCACGTGGGTGCAAACACAATATATTGTTGATTTGGCGTTTAGGACTGATCATGTCATTTTATCCACAGTCAGAAAAAAAACTACTATTGACTTTGGGTGCAACACTGACAAAATACACCGGCACCTACATGTATAACTGACTATATAATGCTGTAACAACTTTTCTCTGTTGAAAGACTTCACTGGAGTGTCAATCAATCAATCAATCAATCAATCAATCAATTAATCAATAAACCAATCAATCAATCAATCTTCCGCAGGCTCGGTGGTCGTAAAGGTTGTCCTTTCTGCAGCTGCGAATAAAGAAAAAGGGAAAACTGAGTACATAGAAAGAACTGTCGTGCAAGGTTTGACTTATATTTCTAAATGCTTATACACCTGCACCATTGAATGATCGTACAATGATTGTTGCATATTTAAGATGATAGCAAAAGAAAATATTGTAATGCAATTCGCACCATATTCTGTGTTCGTTGAACATCGGAGACGAAGGAACGAGAACGCTAAGACAAACTCTCGTCAAAAGGAGTATAATCTGTAATAGGGAGAAACATTTTATTTTACTCACCTCGTCACGGCAATCATAGGTCTATCCCAGTCTTGGGAACGTCAGGGGAGGGTGGCCTGTAGAAAAAAAAAGAATAAAGTTAAGAAGGAGATTCGTAAACAAGTGCGTCATATTCCACTCTTTGATAAAAAAACAAAGAGTGGATCTGGATGCTTATGTCCATAGAATCTTGAAAGCATGCAAAAAGCAGAGCATTATAGTACAGGTATATCTATCGATGGATTTTTCATCTATTACAATTAATAGAATGATCACATAGATGAGTCCTCGCTTAGGAGTCAATAAGTATGCCAGAATGATAACTATCATGATCGTGGGCTTTAAAACAAACAAACAAACAAACAAACAAACAAACAAACAAACAAAGTTGTTACCTGAGTCTGTGCGGCGAACTTCCCTCTCCTCCTCGCCGTCCTGTAACATGGACACCAGAGACTCCGCCAGGCTTTTCGTCATTCTCGACGTTTCCCTCAGACTCTTGTTGACCTCTGACCGGATCAGGTCACGTGCTGCGGACGATTCCCTCAGGGCGGTGTTGACCTCTGACATGATAAGTTCCCGGATGATGGCCCAGTCCATCATCTTGTTCGTGACGTCACCTATGCGCTGTGAGGACGAGAAACAGCCACGTGGTTATAGTGTGCAACCGGGGCGGCGGACGGTATAGACTTTCAGACACTTGTCCTAAGTCATAGGATCATCAATCCTGAAGAAGGCTGAAGAATCTGTTTGAAGTTTGCTAAGTAAAACATGTCCTTGTATTAATGGCAAATGTCTACATTTTGAGAACCTTACTATCTACCAAACCCCCATTGTTAACCGTTATCAAGGCTGTCATCGACTGCCCCCATCTACAGCACTCTCGTCCAGTTATATGACTCGTGTGACCTTTATTGTTTAAGGTTTATTTACACATAATAAAACAAGTCATTTTCTTGAAAATGGTTAATGAGTTGGAAGGGGAAAGCAAAAACCTCGTTCATAACCTCTAGGTCAAGTGACTTTTCAGAGCCGATCAAAGATGGCGGATTCCATCTGAAGGCTTCTCAAAGCTGAACTTCTTGTCGTTGGAAATGTTTTATTTTCAATCTTAAAAGTGCTTCTGCACTCATCATACAAAGTCCCTGCTTCCAGAAGCTTTTATCTGGTCCGGAAGAAGGTGGGACAAACGACGTTTATCCCGGGATCTGCCACGCGACCTTTGGTTTTTACTAACTCTCTTTCCGTGGACACTCCATAATCCAGGATCTTAATGACATCTGCTGTTGTATTTGGGCCACATCTGATGCTCGTGAAGTGGACAGACGACGTGTTTCAGTGACAGAACATTTTACGGCAGGTGCTCATTTGCAGCATACTCATTTTGCAGTGTTTGTTTTGACAAACACTCTCCAATCAAAAATTTCCGGAAGAACGACACCTTTTTACATATTCTCGGTGGGGTTAGCGACAAAAAAACGTGGCATATATAAAAAGGTAACGATCTTCCCCCCATCAACCTCTGCTTGGAGGGTATCAATTAACGCAGAAGCTTCATTTGCACCCCAATGAGTAACATGTGGACAGTCTGTTCATTTTGCGCGAAGATAAGGGACGAATTTTGTTCTCCAAGAGTTTCAAAGATAAATGACGGATTTTTGTCTGCTTTCCTGTCTTAGAATCACCGGGCACTTTAGTCCAATTATACATGTAAAACCGGGCATCACACAGCTCCACTTTCGGTCGATCCAAAGTTGACGACGCAAATTTATTGCCGTTTAGAGGCAAGGGGCGGAAAAGAAATACGTTTAGGGATACAACTTGTTTGAAGGATGAGGTTGACGAAGCTACAAAACGTGGTTGAAGTGCAACGAAGAACACTGATGGCCCACGCTGACGTGTGGACAAGTGGGAACAACAGAAATGACTCCGCCGGGGCATTAAACCATCATTTTCTGTTTGCCTTGGAGTGAGATAGATTCCTGAACGTAGGTACATGTATAGGTTTCCTGAAAAACGGGACCGACAGCTAACCTGTAAAAATGTCTTCTAGCATGAAAAATAAAATTTTACAATAGAAATCCAAAGAAAACCGACCAGAAAAACAAGACCAACATTCGCTTATATTTCTGAAGAAAGGACTACAGACTGGACGTTAGAGTGACAGTGGACATCAGAGATAGCAGCATGTTTAGACAGGGAGGTCCAGTAGCCTCTACCAGGCTTCGGTAGTCAGCTGGAAAGAGTAGAAATCGGCCAAATAGAGAGATGGCATGCAAAAGCTGTTGGTCTGCTGGAGAGAACAGTTTGCCGCTCTAGCAGACCAACTCCATTTGCATGCCATCTCTCTATTTGACCGGTTTCTACTCTTTCAAGCCACCTCCCGAAGACTGGTAGAGGCTAGGGTCCCGTGCTTACCTCTGGGCTGTAGAGTCCGTCTGGGACCGTGGCGTCGCGGCGGACCTCTCGGGCGGCCCGGGGTCCTGAGCCCGCCGACCCTGGCCAGACCGGCCCGGCAGCGGCCCGAGACCACGTCACCGCCACCAACACGAGCACGACGGGGGCAAACCTGTTCATCAGCATACTGCAGATCGTGGAAAACTTCTCCAGAGAAAGAGAGATACAAAAAAAATCAGACCACAAGTCGGATCGCGTCTGAGTCGAGGGCGGAAGGGACTGGTGAAGGGACCGTCGACGTCGGCGCTTATATAGGGTGGGTTATTGATTCGTTGCCACGACAACCGCAAACTGGGTCACGCCCACTCGTTCCAGGAAATCTCTGGCGGAAGCTTTGAAGCTCTCATACTGTCTGATGATGCGCAGTGTGGGATCCGCCGTAATCCGGCTGTTTTATCCCACATAAAGGGACGGTTTTGCCTCAATTGTCGGTCGCTAGGTCGGTAAAACTGTTAAGTAACCCTTTTACTACCGATTAACCACGGCCACACCTGTACGTCACGTCAAACACGTACACCTGTACAGGTAACGTGTTTCCCCCAGGTGTGACGATGTCAGAGTCCGGAAGTTCTTAGAAGAGCAATTTTAGCGACTAAATGGGCGATGTTTCTCTGCGGAACTTAAGTATGAATTCTCAAGAAAGACATAAGAAGTGTTCCTTCTCCTCCCACATGCGTGTCTTAGCCCCTTAAGTACTTAAAGTCTGTGGATCTGGTTACTGTCGACAAATTGGCCATAATGGGGAAACGTCAAAAGGAACAGGAAAAGATCCATATTTATTAGCAATGTTCCCATCTCTATAAGTGTCTTTCCTTGTAACACATCATGTTTTCGTCGAAAGAGCAAACAGAAAATAGAAAAAGTTCGTCTTCACTTTGTTTTTCTCGTATATAGATGCAATAAACCTCCACGATTTATGTCTAACAAGCCACTGGGGGCTTCATGCAAGTACAGAAGCCTATCATTTGCTAAACATTACCTCAGAGGGTCATTTTAGGAAAACGCTTTCTGTCTCATTAAGGGAGGTATGTTCAACCCAGGGTACGGTAATGGCTTTCTACAGTAATTGTCATAAGTATAAATGCCGCACAAATGTAAATGCTATTCTTACAAGGCAGTTTACTACCGTCTTTTGTACGAAAATTGGTACCTTCTTGGCCCTCGGTATGATAAGTTGTACACTTGAGGGTTACTGCTTTGACGTCTTAAGTGCCGGCAAGTCATTGAGAGCCCAAAACTAAAACTCAAGATGTGTCCCTAAGGAAGATATGATTCACCAGTCACCAGGACCGTTTCGCCCCCACTGACGTCATGTCACATGGGGGTTGTTTCACTTTAAGATTCTATAACGTCGTTTTGTGCACCGGTTTGTGTTCCCCGAACAAAGATGTTTTTGTGTTCACTATCACTGGTTTGTTTTCGTAAAAAAGAGTCAATAAAATCCTTTAAGTCTATCTGATAATCATCAAAGAGGTAATTCATAATCCTAACCTTTTTCCATAAGGCAGTTTAATACCCTGTGGTTTTCCTTGTTCATATTTACCCGCTGTGATGCGTACATTAAATAGCCGCGTGTACCGAGGTTAGGATAATTGGATGAACGTAACTACGTTATAGTCACCAGGTTTTCATGGGATCTATACGTACACACGTCCTAATGGCATTCTCAAACGAAAAAAAAGTGACTAAAAAAAATCTCCAAAGTTTTTCACATCTCAACAAACAACAAAAGACTGTATTGCTTCTTAAGTCTCCCAAGTTGACCCATTTATTTTTCAAAGAGTCGGACAATTCATCTCCCACTGCCTCCTGAGAAGAAGTCAAACACCATAATAGCTTGGCTAGAATAGTATAATAGAATAGTAGTTACCATGTTTCTCTTACCTATTTATGTATTGCATATTGTATACCAAAGTTATTAGTGTTAAGTAGAGATATTAAGTTAGATTAGTAGTTCGTAGAACATACATGCTAACATGTTTGCAATTTTTTAGCCCTCGGGCATGAGCTTGCAACAAAGAACACTCTTATTAAAACAGCCTATTCTGTGTCAACAACAGCAACTTTGTTGAAAGAGTCGTCGGTCATTGTAAACCAGTATAAACCAGTATTATTATTATTGTATGTTTATGTAAGGCTTCTGCGAAATGCCGACATTTGATATCGGCATTTCACATCAGGCAAGAAGATGAGGGATTGACCCTTTTCCATCAAAAGAGATTTACATAAGACTATCTAAACCTTTAGCAGACTGAAGTAGCTGTTAGGATCCCAATTAGTTACGAGCTTAACAAGCAGGGAGAAGGCTAATATTGCATGTTGTCGATAGTTTTTTTTTTCTTTCATAGTTTGGGTAACAGTTTCTTTGAGTGAGATCTCTTCGACAGCTTTTCAACCCCTGGCAGATAGAATGCAGTGCATGGGTTCAGCGTGGGTTGGATTCCGGTGATATGGTATACGTAGGACCAACGCGAAAGTGCAAAACTCACAGACCTCCGGATGCAGCCGCCGGTGGCTCCACTGGAATGGAGAAAGAGTAGGCCAGCGTGGGTTGGACCCCGCTCATGTGATGGGACCAACGCGAAAGTGCAGAACCCACAGACCTCCACCCACAGGTGGTCCACTTGAGTGATGAAAGAACAGGGCGGTTATGCAGTGGGGGTTAACTATCCCATTCTCGGACCACTGGGTCAACTTTCGACCTACTTGTCGGTGGTCTGAACATCAAATTGTGGGCTAAAGAAACGTCATCAAGTCGCAATCACCAAGAGCGACGTTAACAGTATGTGTCTGAGGAAAGCCACACTTCTGACACGTTAAGAGTCCGTTATACACTTCGATAAAAGTTTGTCCAGTTGTGGATGTGCCACACAAACATCATGGACGACTATTGTATCCAGAACCGTGCCTATCTAGTTCTATGCCTGAATGGATTAGGGTTAGGATCAGGGACAGTTCTGGATAGTCTCCGCTTATCCAAGAACGTAGATGTGCCCCAGGCACGGTTCTGGATGCTTTATCTAGAACCTCAAATGATCATGGTTCTGGATAAAACAGACGGTTCTGGATAAAACAACGACTCTTAGACATTTTTCTCACTTTCTGCGTAACGTGTAATTTGAGAAGTTCGTCTGGCCAGGTGAAAGGCCGCAGGTGATAAGCGTAGGTTACATGTCGCCGTGATGGCCGGTCTGCAGCTGCGCCGTACGTTCGTGTGTCTCATGTTCCTCAAAACGGTCGTTGTCATATGGCAGAACGGCAAACTTTAAACTGCAGACTTCTATACCCAGGGCAACGTAGAATGGAAGCACCTGTCCTTATGTTTCAAAGTCAAAGGGTCTAGCTTGAAGAAGAACTTCTATTCAAGTTGGCTACACGAGTTTGAATCCAAGCTTGTGTGATTTCTTTTTTTTTTTTTCACAAATATCTTGACTTTTTTTCACAATTATATCGTACATTTGCAATTGAAGTGTTCCTTTTTATACTTGTTTTTGTCCTTCAAAGAAGTTACCTACGCTCGGACCAGTCAGAGATATTGCCTCGACAGTTGACGTTGATGACAAGGACCGTTTACGAGACGAAAACGCGGCTCGGCGATGACAATGTTTACAGACACAGATCAACAACTGTAAGTTACGCGCGTGACATATCTGTGGACAGTGTCTTAGTCTTTGAAAGGCCACAGGTATTTCTGATAGGTTACCTGTCCTGCTGATGCCAGGTCAGGCGTCACAGGCGGCCTTTCGCTCCGTTATGAAAAGTCATTAGCAAAGTCTGTTTTTTTTTCAGACCATGGGGACAGTGGTTTGTTGTTTTTGTTGCCACTATGTCAAGGGCACAGTATTGGAAGGCGGAAGAGCCCATCCCCCTCCTTCCACCTTTTACGTAAAGTCAGATATCCATTTTACATGTGGTTAGAGTGAGGAAAGTCGTGTAAAGTGCCTTTTCCAAGGACACAGGAATATAAGGGATTGAACCCTCGACCTCTCCATCTTGTGTCCGCCAGCCTAGCCACTCCTTCCACCTAAATAGATTCAGGTACCTATCTTACACATGGGTGGAGTGAGGAAAGTCGTGTAAAGTGCCTTTTCCAAGGACACAGCGTCCAGCCAGGAATGTTACGGATTGAACCCGCGACCTCTCCATATCTTCTGTCCGCCAGCCTAGCCACTCCTTCCAGTTCAGTTTTTAAATAGATTCAGGTACCTATCTTACACATGGGTGGAGTGAGGAAAGATGTGTGCCTTCTCCAAAGACACTAGCCTCTACCAGACTCAACGGATCGCTGGAAACATAGTAGAAATTAGCCGAAATAAAGGGATAGTATGCCAGAATAGATCCCAGGCCGGTCGCAAATTGGATCTTCTATGGCCCGGGATCTTCTCTGGTATACTATCCCTTTATTTCGGCCAATTTCTACTCCTTTTCCAGCGATCTGCGGAGTTTGGTAGAGACTACAAGGACATAACGTCCTGTCAGATATGTGAGGGATTGATGCTGAGAGCTCTGGATATCCTGTCCACTAGCCTGGCTACAATATCTTACCCAGGATATTGTCACAAAAATCTTTTGCCCTTTTCATTTGTTTGCGTTGTGATCTAAGATCTGAGGTTTTGTTTGAAGTCCCTTCAAAACCTTTCAGCAGTGGATAAATCGAAGTATCTTTATTCATAATGACGTCTGTTGACACAGAACAACAGCAAATACCCTGCGGTCAGGAAGAGGGTTTATTTATTCAAATTCCATATCAATGAGTTGGTCTTGTTGATGTCCTTTTGTGGCCATTTTAAGCTAACAGGTTTTGGCGACTTTGGCGATTCTCTACTTTAATCTAAGATAAGTTTTTGATCATCTAGGGCTATCTTTCATCATCTTCACAGTGAGGTGGGGCGTCAATGCCTTCAACGTTCTTTTATCTGCCGCTAGCCTTAGTCTATGTTAAACTTAGCCAGAGCGAAAGGTTTTGGGCGAGTGCACTCTGCTGTGATTTTCTTCAGTTATCATTTCATTAAGTATGGTGGGGTCTGAAACGTGCGTGTATCTCTCGTCATGGGGCCTCCATTTCAAGTCCAGGCTTATACATGTCTGTTGATAACCGTGTTTAGGTCAGCCCGATGACGTCACAACCACGTGTGACCCGTCACGTAGCCTGCTGACCTCATTACCCGGCAGGCTTAGCGAGCTTAGCTGGTCTGTCATTAGCCGTTGGTTGATGAAAAATACGATCAGTTCTCTGTTCACAACCTTTTGAAGGTGCGGTGCTGCTTTGCATACCTAGCTGGACATTATCTTTTTCCGTATCACGGCACTTAATAATTATATTTCATGCAAAAATTCACCCGTTACATCAATGCCCTTAGGGTACATTCGTAGTCAAACAGTGCAACGTTTCCCATGTTCATGTATGTTCCATACTTCATTTACAGGATCGTATACTTAGCAAGTAGTATTAATTGATTGGCGTAAGAAAAGGATTTCATGTTGTGAAGCTAATAACATATTATTACACCTTATATAGCTAAAAATCTCCTTCAGTGCCTAGTACAATACCGTTGTCCACTTCTGGCACAGCGGTTTTGACGGTCTCACATTCATACAAGAAGTACATACAATAAGTGTTCAACATAATCAACAACGTTACATGACTGATATTTATCATTGTCTAAAAGACCTTGCAGGACATTTTCACGGTGGTCAGTTTGGTGCTCGTGCTTCCCTGGACTGATGATGGATAGTTTGTAACAGATCGTTCATGTAGATGGACCTGATGTGGGCGCTGAGTTGTAATTATCTTCACTGGAGACCGATTATAAAGCTTCCTGTTTGGACCGCCATTTGAAACACACATCGCGAAGCTTTGTTGATCTTTAATTAATTAATTAATTTTCTCTCAGTTTTAGAACCTCGCTACCCAACACAATGTTCACTGTAGATGTTGGTTACCTTTTGCCAGTTCCGCCACAATTTATAGCTAGTTAGCACCCAAATGCGAATCTGGTGATTTATGTTATTTCATTTTCAGTATTTCAGAGTTTAAAATATACTGGGGCTACCGTAGATGTAAATGTATACCTGCACCAACAGTGAATTAGAAAGCTTTTATTTCATATTCCCATTGGACAGATTGGCACAGGTTGGTCTTTTACTTCTTTCTTCTCTAATGTTTTAAAACTCCTAGTGATAGATCATAACCATAAAAAGTTCTCGTGAAGGCGTACATATAGACCTATCCCTCTACTTATCCCTTTATTACAATGATATCCCACTATAACGGACCGACTATAATTATATTTAGAAGCCCAAGTCTGAATCTGCATGACTGCTGCGAGTTCGCTTTCTCTTCTTTGTTCCCGAAGTTTTGTTGAACGCCAGGCGGTTTCACAGGTGGGCCGTAAATTCTGTTCCTTTGAATCGCCGCTGCTCTTATCGGCGTAACCAGATGTCCACACAGAAAGAACGCCATGTTGGCAGGTGGCAGCTTTTCTCTGAGATATTACAGTTGGGTATGAACATACCACAGCGGCGACTCTACGAGCCGTTCGCACCTAATCGTAACCCACAGCAAAATGTGCACCCAGCGCGCACCCTTTGAACAGACGCTTACCCGTGTTCAAAACCCTCAAGGCTTTTGAAATCCTGAATGATGTATTTCACGTCTTTCCCCAAAACTATATAAGATGTTATCTATTGTAATGGCATGGTTCACTGCTTTCGGTTGATTTGAATGCTATCTGATAGACGGATTCATTATGTGCTGTTAATACGGAGAGCCCATCCAGCTCCTTGCTGCATGCACCCCCTGCGTTCTAGCCACAGGTAGGCCCGTCCGGTCGTTAGACATGCACCACGGTACAGGGAGAGACGAAGGCTGACCCACACTGTCAGTCCTGCACTTGCCGTGTTGCCGTACTGAGGGGAGAGCAGATCTTCTCTTCTGTCGGAATTCCTGCGTTTGTTTTCTGCACCAGATTCCTTCAACCTTTCCTGAAGCTGTCACGAGATCCAGTACGAGATCCTCCTCGCGAAGAGGCTTTGGAGCTGTGTAGGGAGGCATGGTGAGAGGTTTTGGGGGATTATTTGTGATTCTGTGTAGACGGTCTGCACCGCTGATGTGTAAGGGAGGAGAGGTTGTGCGGGTTTTAATGGTTGTGTGTAGCGATGTGATGTGGGCGCCGCGCGGCTGCGATGCCTGGTGATGACGGAGTGACGCTGCTAAGAGCAGGATCAGGACGTCAGACTGTCTCCGCGCGGTGATGATGGCACCGAGGGGAGAGCGCGCGGGACTGAGCAGAACACTAATGGGCTCATTCCGGCCGTATTCCACAGAGGACATCAATCCTACAACTATCGCAGAGTGGGACTCGCTGTCACCAAGTACAGTAGGGGCATTGTCATTAGATAGCTTTAAACAATGTCTAGAGTTAGGGTTAGGTGTAACAAGTCAATCGGTGTAATGTAGCCAACTGCCGCCGCGCCGCGTGCCTGCGAAGCTGGTGTGTTAAGCCGAAGGACGGTTATACCGGCTATACCGATACTGATACGGAATCCAGTGTTAACCCGGCAACGCGATGCATGAGCAACTTATCTATATAATCAAATTTGTTGTACTTATATATGTGTTGACAAATGCCTGTTGATTTTTGTATGCCAGACTCTTTTGACCATGAAGTGAACATCTTACTTGAGCATGTAAGAAAACACAGCTTCATAGAAGCATTTGAGATTTTGAGTAGATGGTTCAGAACATTAACGACACCCGGTCACTAGTATATTTCTATATATCCTTATTCTACTCCCAGATAATTTATAGCCTCAGCACTATGAGTTATGGGATGCATGCAGACCGGTCGCTTCGTGATTGAACGAACGTCATACAACGCTTCCTAACTACAAGTGTTTATGCTAGTTAGCTCACAGCTTCCCTTCCTTCCCCCAAACTGCACCAAGAGCTCTATGCTGATCGGCCATCACTCTGCTAGACCCGCCAGAACGCTAGAAATATACGTAAGCTTTTCTATGTAAGCTTGTTAGCTCACAGTCTCTCTACTGTGCCCACAGTAGAAGCCATGACCATCGTTCCATGCAAATCGACCATCACTGTTCTGGGAATAACGCTAGAAATGCTGAACTCTATTGTACAGTTTCTCTATTGTGTTTCCAGCTGAAGCCCTAGAGCCATGAGCTCCATGCAGATCAACCATAAGGCTATTGAGAATAACACCAGAAATCTATGCAGGCTTGCTCAAAGCTTCAAATCTTATGCCCTCAGCTGAAGCCGTAGCGCCATCATGAGTTCCATGCAGATTGTTATTGAGAATAACGCTGGAAATGCTGAACTTCTCTGTGCAAGCTTGCTCACAGCTAAAGTTTTCTACCTTTTTCTGCCCTCAGGTGAAGCCCTAGCAGCACTATAAGCACCATGCAGACCGCCCAGGCCGTCAGGACGGTCCACATCCACAAGAATGGCGACAAGTTTCAGGACCCGAAGAAGTTCGTCGTCAACCAGCGTCAGTACCCGGACATGGACACGTTCCTGGACGAGGTAAGTCTCGTCAGAATTCTCCTAGCGTTACAGTACAAGGTGTAGATACCTATCAGGCCTTATTGTTCTTTCAACTGCTGGGATTTTTTACATGTTCTTTGTTTGGTGATGACACGAGAATAAGTCATGGAATTGAATGGGATGCAACGATGCTTTGGCATTAAATGTTGCATTGAAAACATGTATGATCATTGATAATACAATGTGCAATATGCCATCACATTTTAGGTAACTAAGGAACATTTACATTTAATCTCCTAGAGCTTTCTTTATTCATGAAACCTCCCCAAAACTACTTTATTCACTGAGCCCAATTTAAAAACGCGGGACTGTCAACTAGACATTCTGAAGCGTTTTAACATTCTGTAACGTTACATACACGCGCAGGTTTGGAAGCAGCCTTCAGGCATGAGTTTGAAAATGAAGTATTCTTATAAAAGAACGTTCATGCACGTCCCATGTAACTAAAGTAGACATTCATCTGTGTTGTAAGAATCCATAGCTGTAGAGTTCAAGCATTGTTCCAACCCTTTCTTTGTAATTGTAATTGTAGACATTCTTTACATTCTTTAACGTTACGCACACATACATATTGCAATTAGCCTTCGGTCATGAGTTTGCGAACAAATTTTTCTTCTAGAATAGCCTTCACATACAATACAGGTGACTAATGAACGTAGAAACACAAGATGGCCCAAACATTTTGCATTCTTTCATTTAGCCTTCGGGCACAAGTTTTCGACTTAATTGTTCTAATAAGATAACGTTCACCTCCAGGTGACTAAGAAGATGGGCCCGACGTCCCGCGGTCCCCTGCGGCGCATCCACACGCCGAACACCGGCCACCAGGTGCAGGGTCTGCAGGACCTACAGACCGGGCAGCACTACGTCGCCGCCGGCAACGAGAGGTTCGAGAAGATGAAGTAAGTCTACATCTTTCCGCGTGTTATGTATTATTGTATTTAGAACCGTGCTTTATCTAGAGCCATGCTCAGACACTGTTCTGGGTAGATCACATGCTTAGGAACGGTTCTGGATAGTCCACCGTATCCAGAACCATGTTTTATCTAGAGCCAGTCTTGGGAACGGTTCTGGATAATCCACCGTTTTTATCCTGAACCATGCCCTGGCACAATTCTGGATATTTCACGATGTCCAGGACCATGCCTGGGAAAAGTTTACGTTCTTGGATACACTAAAGAACCGTGCTCAGACACGGTTCTGGATAGATCACGTGTATCCAGAACCGTACTTTATCCAGAATCATATTCAAGCATTGTTAGTTGTGGACTGCCATAATTAGTTCATCCAGAACCGTGCCTGGGGTTCTTGGATACGCGTTGAATATCTAGAGCCGTTCCTAATCCTAACCCTAACCCTAACACATACGATGTAGCTGAATATAGAGTCTCCATGTTGTAGCTACGTGAACAGCGTATACCAAGTCGGTGAGTCGTGTGGAAATGGCGTTCTTGAACCTGAAGATAAGATAATTGCCACTTAGGTTGCCGTTTCAGAACCTAATTTCCTACATGCGTAGCGGATAGATAAGGAAACCACGTTTCCGGTATCTACTTCCCCATCGCCTTTCCATTTGTAGTCTTGTGTTCAACACATCAAAAAACCATCGCAGATCCATGTACCTTCCCCAAGAGTCGCTGCCGTTCATATATCAAACATTCATGGATCCTGACCTGAATCCAGATTACCCCGTACCTATTTACATGTTTCCCCTACTTAATATGCAAAATATCATAACGTCTATTTATCTATAATCTCCAGTTGTCCCTTCCATCAAAGCACTATCACACGCCTAGATTAGCATGATATTGCAGTAGGATGTACATCAGAGCATGCTAACAGCACTAAAACGCCAAGTAGGTTAAAGATTCGAAGCATGCACACATCATTCAAACTCAAGCTTAATCCTTACTCAACATGTCTCTCGGCGTGTCAGTATATACTCTTTCCATCAAGGGCTGACAAGTATGTAATATAGCAAAAAGTGACTAAAGAGGATGAATTATTTGCAAGAGTTTCGTCGCTTGAGGTTATCACGAACCGTAGTTACAGGCCGTTTCGCTACATATACTCAGCTCGCTACAGTTGTTTCGCTACATACATGGCAATTCGTTTTGGTGAATGGCGAGTCGTTTAGCTACAAGGCAGACATCATTTCGCTACTTTCAAATGTTACTTCTGTAAACAGAATAATATCACGAAGGCTACTTTGTCCTCCTCTGGCTAGGTAATTCCTCTGTCAAAAAATTCAACCTATTAGACAAAAAATCTGCATTAATTATTCTTCAGGCCCCCAATGGGAGTCCTTTGCAGACTATTGTCGGCACACAAGTAGACGTAATCTCATTTTTTAAAATCAAAACAGCAAAAACATAAAAACACACAAGATGACGTCACACTCAAATTCCATGGAAATTATATTAACGGCGCCATCTGTACAATATGATTAAACAGAGATGTGGTAATTACATGGACAAATAATAAATATACAAAATCGAAAGAAAATAATTGGGGTTTAGTAAATGGAATTCAACGAGCGCAAGTCCCAACCCCCATCCCTTAGAATTACTGAAAGGACACAAGTAGAATAATTGAAGTCGAAAAGATGAAAAGATATCTCCATTCTCCGTACAACAAAACGGCGGTTCTACACAGAGCCGACATGTCCCGGCAGTCAGAAGCCCCCCCCCCCCCCTCTGACCAACCCGATCCGCAGACCCGTGTGGAGTAGCTAATTTCCCAGTGGTAACATGTCCGATTGATCTCGGATTACAAGCGAGCTCTGTAGTTCCGCCACAGCCAATCAATAAACCAGAAAATAAAGGTTTCACCGCCCGCATGCGTCATCGGTGTTGGGTAGTGTACGGGCCAGTGTAAAATCCGGGCTACTTTTTTATTGTTTCGTTTTCAACGGATTTTCTCAATGGTTACTTAGTACTTAGCCCCATTGTCCATCCTCAGGCATATATTGCCCTGTGCTAGTGCTAGGCAAAAGGCCATTTCTGAGCAGTAAGGTCAGTCACTCAGTCAGTCAGTCACTCAGTCAGTCACTCACTCACTCACTCACTCACTCACTCACTCACTCACTCACTCACCTACTCTCGCTCTCTAAGTTGGAGGGAAAAATTGACTATGGCAGGAAATGGTAGTGATTTTAGATTTTATCTCTCTTCATGGCCATTTTCCTCTTGTATACAGGCAGATCTTTCGGAGACCGCAAAGACAGTGTCATATTGGCCAGGCTGTATCCGTTGGCCTTTGGCGAAACGGTAACTGTCTGACCAATGTATACTTCCCAATTTGATACAGTCTTTGCTCAAAGCTTTGCTTAGAGATTAATCTTCTTCTTTAACTACTACCTATCGTCTATACCTCATTATAACACGGGGACATTCAAATGTCATTATTGGTCCTGAAAAAAAATCACCTACTCCGTTAATTATAGTAGCGACCGTTTCATCTTGCAAGTCAGGGCAACAATTTCAGATAATCTAGAAGCACGTTAGGGCTTAGAAAATCATGGGTATCAATGTGCATCACGCCACGTTTTGCCGCTTAAGCATTAGGGAAGATTATTAAAGATTTCATCATTATGCGAAGAACACATCAAAATGTCCAAACGCAGCGGTTTAAAATCAGTCTTTACTTGGAATAGACTATTTTTTATCATAATCACCATAATCATCTGTTATCCCATCATTTATCGTTGATACCACCTCGTTACTGATAATTAGTCCTCAGCTATCAGCTCTGCGTGCAGCCGTTAATAAGAAGGTTTTATTGCAAATTCATGCCCGAGGGTTAGTACACATAGAACTGATAGCTACAAAGAAACTACTACTAAAAACTACTGGGTTTGACTACTTTTTTTAAGACAGAGGAAGACAAAGGATCCCACTTTTTCTGTAATTTGTGGGTTTTCGGATGTTAAGAGGAGAGTAGTTTAATATCACAATATTTATGCTCTGTAAATTTGCCTTGAGGCACGCCCTTCCCAAGTTGACTCAACAGGTTTATTTCTTATAATTAGCTTCCAGAAACGCGACGTGAAAACATGTCAGCACGCCTCCGGAGAAAGTATATGTTAATATTGAAACCAAAGAAGGCAAAACACCAGGCATACGTGTATGCCATCATCATAGAGAGAGAGATATGTTCTTCGTGATTTATAAAGATGTAGTTTTTAGTATGTATGGACCGACTATTTGTAACAAAGTCATCAGTTGGACTACAAGTACGGAAGTTATAATGTCCAGCGATTACAAAAGTTAAGCGTTAGCATGAAAGTTTGTCAGTGTTTATTTTTAAAGAAGCTAAGGATTTTTAACCTACGATTTTTAGCTCAAAAGATATTAGTAAATTAACCAACATTTTCAACTTATTCACCAATCTGAGTGTGAGGATTCCTTTCTTGGCAAAGCCAAAGACCAGTGTGCTACAATCGAAAATGTGAGTGCGTCCAATCCTTCATGTTGAAAATTAGGTTAAAGCTTAAGATCATCCGTCATCGTTTAAGTACAGACTAACCAGTGACAGTACGTCCTGTGCGTTAATGCGTGTTAGTGCGTTTTTCTATGCCATCGCGTCCCCATCACGTCGGCTGTTAATGCAGGAAGATGCAATATCCGTCCACATCCCATCAACTCTGCAACGTTATTAACCCACTTATTAGGGAGACCTTTCAGCTTCGGCCATTTATTACTTTCCTGATGCGGACGCCATCGGGGCTCTGGTTTGATAAGATAACGAAAAAGCAATTTTTACAATCAATTCAATCAGTCCTTCGCAAATGAGAAAAACTCAGCTGAAATAGATACTAGCCTCCATAGCATGCAAAAAACTGGGGGTTTTGGGGGTCTTCATGGTCTTTTTCTGCTTTTATGTGCTATTTTCTGATTGCATATAGACAACATCGTCGGCATGGTTGAATTACCCCCGTTTTCAGAAAAAAACGGCCGAAGACCACCAAACCCCCAGTTCTATAAGCCTGCTACGGAGGCTAATCAGAAAACAGCCGAAGACCACCAAACCCCCAGTTCTACAAGCCTGCTACGGAGGCTAATCAGAAAACAGCCGAAGACCACCAAACCCCCAGTTCTATAAGCCTGCTACGGAGGCTAATCAGAAAACAGCCGAAGACCACCAAACCCACAGTTTTATAAGCCTGCTACGGAGGCTAACTAGATACTAGGTTTGCTTGCCTATAAGGTATAACAAGATGGCAATGGGTTCCCCGGTCTTGCTATTACAAAAAAGATGACCCTGCAACAGACTTCTCTTGATCTTTCAACCCAGATGCCCAGTGTAGTTCTAACGGCTGTTTTAGGTCCAAGAATTTTATTTTTCCAACAACTTAGTTCGCGCATACGCGCTACTGCCATCACGTAAACCAGGGCAAGTCACACTTCTTGTTAACGTTTCAATGTTAACAAACGATTAGTGGCGCAAACTAAATGACTAACTAAAATACTTTTCTGTTGATCTATTGCAACTGCTTCTTCAAGTTTAGATACTTGCTGTATGCCATACAGATGTACGTTAAAGGCACATCAACCAAAGCTTGTCTACTGGCACTTACACATGAGATTACTCTTATCTTGCGGTTTGTGAAATGGATCACATTTACGTCTGGTAGTCATTACTGGTCGGGAAAGCAATAGTTTGAAAAGATACGCCTTGGAGCGCAGATAAGGCATGGAAACTAGGTTGATCGGAGTAACATAGAGACGGATTTTGATCAGCACATCAGCCAAATATCCCCAAACAGCTCGAGGAACCACTGTCCTGTTTTCGATATAGGCGTGCGGGTTAAGTACATTTCTAAACTGTTCGTGTTGGGAAAGGACATGACTAGAGGTGTCATTCACTGGGTAAAATTGGGGCCTGCCAGCGATTCGAACCC